AAGCATATTATTTGGACATAGATGTCAAAGTCCACTCTCTACCTTTTCATACAACATATATATTTTTTTTATATTATACAAGATACACTCTAGATAATGAAAGAGAAATGAATCACTGATTTTAAAAACCTGTAACTGTATATCTTTTGATTGCAGTAATCTAATATTACTTCCCTACACAAGTTTAAGTCAGATTTCTGCTGATCAGTGGTTGATCAAATTAAGTGCGATGACATTTAAACAAAGATAAATATAAATAAATATAATGCAAAAAGAGGAATAAATGTATATACTGATCAACAAAACTCCGTACACTAAAGTATAAACGGAAACAATAATAAAAAAATTAGAAACAGTAAAAAGAGATGTTACATATTTCGTAACATATCTTTGGAGCGTTAATGCCATAAGATAGCGAAACAACAGAGCCATTTTTGTGAACTGCACAAGGAATAATGCAGTAAAACCAAAAATTAAATTTACAATAACTTAAGTCTATAATTTTGTTAGAAGACGAACTGTCTAGTAATATAGTCCAACTTCTACACAGTTAAAAACTTAATTCATATAAATTACAATGTTTTTGTATTGTTACTACTAAATTCAGCATTATCACGTTGTTTATATAATAATTTTCTGAGTTTATTGATTTTGGCATTAAGATGACACATTTATAGACATTTGATTGAGCAAATTTCGCGAAAATATATAACTGTACACAGCCTAAACAACAGCAAAAGAAGTACAGAACTTCAGCATACATATATGCTTAAATTTATATTTCAGCCTTAATGAATACTAAAAATTTAAAATTACAAAACTTTTGTAGTTATTTGGGTGTAATCATTTAGCATTAATATGTTATCACCTTAATTATCTTAAAAAAACAACTCAAAATGAAATCCTTTCTTGTGAACGAAATAATAAAAAGATCATTTAAGAAAATGCGTTTAGAAGACTATGTAGATATTTTTAGGAATTTCGCTTTGATTGGATGTTTCATTGAATATTCATTAATCTTTGGAACAAGTTAAAATTAAATGTTGATTGATATGCACATATTTCTTGACAGGTTTATGAAAAATTAATAGTAATGGCGAAGTCCTGACTTGCGTATTTTGCGAATTTGTGAAGCAATATCGTCTCAGTGTGATGTAAACTTATCCATGTTCATATGAGGAACGTATGAAGAATGCAACTAACATAAATTTTAGAAACAACTTCAGTAAGGTTACTGAGCTTCCATAAGGCCACTAGAAACTAGTTTATAATGATTTAAGTTTATAATGATCAAAATGTTTTTTAAGTAACACAAAATATTGTATAACATGGCAAAAATAGTTAAGATTAAATACATCTGTCACAAATCTATAGGAACATATATTGAAAGTTTAAAATATATATAAACCGCAAAATATAATCTTAAACTTAATTCTCCTACCCCCCCAAACCAAAAAATTTCAAGATAGGCCCCGTTTTGTCTTAAATATTAATGGTTTATAGCTTCAAAATGTTTTTAGTAAAGTTTCATTCCCTAGTTGTTAATTATCGTAACCAAGAATAAATTGGCCGCACTAATTTTAAAGATCATCTTTTTCCTTTACAATTCTGTTAATTAGTTCAAATCTATTTTAATAACTACATTTAGTTTGCATGATTGTTGCTTACAAAAAATTATCATGGTTTCCGGTTTCCATATTATTTCGCTAACCCTGAACTTTATGATGTATTTTAATATTTTCACTTATGCTATATATAATAGACTATAAAGAAAAGAATAAGTTGATAACTTAGGCGATACATTTTCATTACTTGATATATTATCCGGGTAGCAGAAACTTTGCAAGAATGAAACTCTTTAATATTTACGCAAATTAAGCAAAGATTAAGGCTTTAATAAAAAAATTAAATAAATATTCACTTTTTTTAAGGAGGAAATATTTTATATTTATTATTACAGGAAGTTTTCTATTGCTACAAGCATGTAAATATGTACTTCGTACGGCGTCCAACGGTAAAGTATGAATTAAATATACTGTGTGCGTTCGGATATTGAACGCACACAGAACCGATGACAGCTTGACATAACTTGTTTTCCCAAAAGAACAATCTACGGGAACTTTCCACAAAAGTACTCGTACAGATCTCCGTATGACAGAGCACAATCAGTAGTTACCACGCCAAACTACCAGCGTTAAGCACAACACAATGTAAAGCGCATCCAATGAACTAAGCTTGCACGATCTCACAGTACTCTGAAGTCAGCTCCGAAAAGGGAAAACTGAAAAGTGATGCCCTCTCCGGGCTTATATAGATTTTCCCTGGCCGCCAAGAAAGCTCTAGTACCCTCCATTTCTCGAAATTATTGGAAAGCAGATACATTTTAAGTTAAATATAAATATTGGATACCGTTAGAGTTACGTATAGAGATCAACTGCAGTACAAACTACAGTTATACAGGGAACGAACCAAAATGTCGCTAAATGGTTGCGAAGTTTGGCGCCTTGGTGATGGGTTTCTTTCCAAATTTGGAGACAAAAATCAATCGCCAAAACCATCGCCAGCTTGGCAGTGTCTCGCCAATTTAGCGAAACAGCCATTTATCTCAATGTAAAATAGACGTGCCCCTGTAATCTTATTTTTCAGAACTTCTTTTTTTCAGACTTTTCAGGTTACATTATACAAAGATACAAAGATACGATATCACATTAAATTACTTACATTTATACAAAATTCGTAGCATGTAACTATAAACAAGAATAAAAAAAAATGTGTTTTATTGTCGGTGTTGAACTTTTGAAACTTTAAATTGACAAAGTTTGCAGTTTATTGGAAGGCTACACTTTGGGAGTTCATTATATCAGTTTATTATATGCCATGAAAACAACTGTTACTAGAGCATTGAATAAACTAACAAGTCAACTCTAATCCTTCTTTATGATCAACTTTTAACTTTGTTTCTTATTTACTTTTTATTCCCTTTTAAGTTGGTAGATAGCGTCAGCTACTTAGTTTTTACTTATTTAGCTAGAAACCTTTGGATATTTTTCCAACGTTCTCTCGCAGACGCGGGTTCCTTTTAATCAGTTTCACTCTCTCATTGAAGAGGAAGGTTCTGTTGAACCTTCGAAATAATAAACACGAAAATTTGCTCACGTTATGCCTGCTCTTGTTGTTACTGTTAGTATTCTTATTTACTTCGGCTTGCTCCTTAAGAACGCAGATCATTGGAATAAAGGTGACTTATTATACATGGAATGGAAATCCAATGATCTGAAATTTTATATAGCGATAAAGGTATGTTGAAATTAAGGAGGCAGTATATATAGTCTTACGTTCTTGATCTGAGTGTGAAAATGGAAATGAAATCATAGTACTTTAATGGCGGAGTAAGGCAGCAATGCGGTTCCATATCTTGTATGTGCTCCAGTGTGCTAAGCAACACTGGGAGGTATAAGGTCTTAAAAACTGATCTTTTCTATTGTTATATCATTCGTTTCTATACATCGTACCACGCGTTTTTGGTTCTTCATATAAACACACACCATTTTTAAACTGTAGGACTGATGTAGGCATACCCCTCTCAAATGAGAGTTGCTCATTTAAGATTCCTTAAGAACGCTCATTCCTATGGATAATTTTGCCTCTTATCACCGAGAAATTTGAACAGGTGGCAACATATATTACAGCCTTGAAGAAAGGAAAGCACGGAAACTCAGCTACTACTAGGCTTTACGTCAACCCTTTCCGGCACGCTAACTTTTAAAGTCGGAGTTTTGATTAAAAAACAGGTAGGCAGTCTACATAGGCCTAGAGGAGTACACAAGTAAAATTTTGGGAAGAGAGCACTTATCGTTTTAATTCTGTGGGTATGCCCAAAGTGGCCCACTGATTGAATACAGCTTCGAAACGAGTGCTGAAACGAACATTTCTGTCAATGAACTGACCGATGAGATGCGGAGAAACAAACAATACAGACTCTCAATTGTCCTAGATTATCAGTGAGTCCGTTCTGGGCACACCTAGGGTTCGCCGTTTGATTTTAGGCAAGATTTCAAGGCAAAAATTTCAAACTAATATAGAATAAGTAGATTAGCATACAGCCATAAAATAATATAGAAATTCCTTTTCAAACAGTTCCTTTTATAGCCTAGAAAAATCTGCAAGATTTCTTTGAAAAAAGAGAGTCTTATAAAACTAGACATGGCTAAAATATATGGACTGGTTTGTGTTGAGCTGTCATCTACTATAAATAAAGAAGGTTTAGCGTAACCTATAGTAATCTATAAATCCTTTTTCATTCAATTTTTCTGTGCGTACAGAAAGAAAATTTTTAGGTGTGTCCAGACCGAACACACTGTGCCGCAAAGGGTTAAATCGAACCCACTGATGTAGATTAGCATAATGTCTCTCATGACCACATTGCCGGCCATGAAAGGAAAGAAACATATTATAATTTAATATTGTTGCGTGCATACGGGTTCGTTACGAAATGAATGCACAAGTCCGATGAAAAATGAACAAAAATTTATTATTATCACAACAAAAATGCTTAAATTTTCTCAAATTATCATGCAGTATTACAATATCTCGCAGTAGTTATCTTTTAACTACTCAAATGTCCAATAGAACGTAATTCAAAAGAGCTAAAGAAAGCTAATCCGCGAATTTGCTACAATCAACAAGAGCAGTTTTCTAAACAACAACAAACTAAGCAACTACTACGAACTGAGATGTTTTCCTCCTTTTATAAGATTTTAAATTCACGCACTAGAATTTTCCAGTACTTTCTCGAAATCAAAAAAGAGATATTTATTTATTTAATGCACGCGCTCTTGTATTTTCAATTTTCCGGCTTAGCTTTCTTTTAATATTCGTCACGCGCTGCACTGCGCGAGAAATAAAACCATTTAATTTATAATTGAACTAACATTAGCTTTTCAAATACCAAATTTGTAACAATATTGGCTAAGTCATTTAAACAGGAAATTTATCAAAAATCAGCTTTTGAAAATTATCTTAAAAAATTAGATGAATCCTTGAATTTCCGTTTCAGAAAAGGCACAGTTTGCGTGTTGTTTATATAACAGCAGAAATTTCCATGCAAATTTGCGTCTGTATATATCAACATCTCTAAATTTGTAAAAAAAATGTTTTTAAGAAATGTCAATGTAATTTGTAGAGAATGCTAAAATTTTGCCATTTTTGAGAACTGGACTTTCTACATTATGGTAAGTCTTTTCTTTCTCAATACGTATCTAAGATGGAGTCTATCTGCTCAAAAACAGGATAATTTGAAGTAAAATTCAGCAATACCAGCTGCTGATTCTTTCACTAGAAATATGGGACATTTTGTTCGATTTTGCTGGGATAAAAAAATGAAATGAGATTAAAAAAAAGATTCCACGATATAATCAATTCCTTTTCTAACGCGTTAGCGAGTGAAAGCCATTTATTTCCAAACTCTCAACCGCGTCATGAAGAACTCTCTAAAAATAAGTAAAATGCAAGGAACTTCTCTTGTTATACGGCGAATATATTCGTGAGACCCCTATAAAAGCGTTACAGCCCTATATTTCGAAAGCTTGATCCATAATGTATAAGACGTCGAAATATGAGGAAAGGCAAGCTACAAAAAACGTCCCTAAACTACGAACGTTCTTATATATCTATACAGATTCTTCTAAAATTGGGGACAAAGTTCTGAAATTGCCAAAGTGGAGCTCAGTTCGCGTTCCAATCATTTATCGCGAGGATATTTTTTAGCACGTTGCTACACGTCCTGCATATATAAATCACGCCGAATTTTTTCCTCCTCAAATATAGGAAGTTCTTACAATTTTCCTTTCACATTTATTACCTGCTCCACAATTTTCATGCCGTATTTCACAATATAATTAGGACATTTATCTCAAGCTGAAATTTTGCCTCTTTTTTACTATAGCTAAAATGTTAATACCATGGGCACGTGATTAATAGGAATAAAAAATATGTTACCTGGTTCTATATGATAATTAAATGGTTTCAAATATATTACTTACCGACTAAAATTATAGCTTGAAACAAATTCCTTAGAAAATTGTCGTAACTTACAAGACTAGAATGCCATCCTTTTCTGTTTTAAGTAATACTGTTTTAACTTAAACTGTAAAAGCTTTTGATTGCTTGAAAAATATTTTAAAAATAATTTTCTTAAAATTCGTTCTGAATTTTATGCAGCGAATCACACAGGTTGGATATCAGAAATATGAACTAATAGAATGGGACATGGAATTACGCAAAAATATATGAAAGGATTTTTATTAATGTATAACTGCCTAGATCCCTTTCCGTGAAAAATCTACTCCAAATCCATTTTCCTCCTCGATAGGTTACTGCAGTCAGTTGAAAGTGTGGTGTGATTAAAGAGAGTAACTGAAACTTCCTACACTTTTTTCAGGTGAATTTTAAAATTGTATTTAATTCAAAAGTTTGAGGAGAAATAAGTTCCCAAGGCTAATTCGCTACATGCACTTTATCTCTTAAGCGATGAGTGTAAACGTGTCATAAATAATTATAGGATTGCCTACAAAAATGAATGATGATTCTCTAATATTAGATTTGTCATAACAAAGGGATTGCATTGCATAAAGCTTACCTGTGTAGATGAATTTTTTGCGTAGATGATGAAGTGGGAAGAACAGCTCAAAACATCTTGAAAGTAGTCTTAAGATATTTTAGACATATTTACGGGAATAATCCCTAATGCAAATGTTAAGAAAAGCAAAAGTCCATCAAGAAAAAAAAAAAAAAAAAAAAAAAAAAAAAAAAAACAGTCATCAGAAAATTCACCTATAAATTATGAGCAAGGTAATTTGTGAAAATCGAATAGAGAACGAAAATGTGCAAATAACGTTAGATTTTCTATGTAGAAATCTACGTTAAATTAACATCAATATTTCATCCTCAAAAAGTCACTGATTAAAAAGGTTAAAGGTTCTGTGTAATACATAATTTATCACAATTCTGCAGTTTTTATAGTATGTATAGTTCTTTCTCGTTTTCACTACTGATTCAATTTTTAGTCATTTATAGATATTACGATTAAAAACTAATTAGAAAATTTATTAAATTTTTGTTTTCGGATTTCAACTGACTGTATTATCATTATAGTTAATGCTTAACATAGGTGTAGTTTCTTAAAAACCTAAGAAAAGCTAACACGAGACTAATTACTTTTGAATTTTTCATTAAGGTTAACATTAATTTTCGCAAGTGTAAATCATAATGAGACTGTATTAAAGTTTACATATAATTTTTAAATTGTCTGGTTTATTTTAATTGATAAGTTAAATCCTACATTAATCTTTCCTGAACGTCTGCTGTTTTTCCTCCAAATGCAAATGAAGTGAATTTTAAATAAGGAGACAGAATCAAAGTTTAAAAGGCACAAAGTTAGTACCTTTAGCTTCCCATAGTAAAACGTCTCTTGTTACCAGTATTTAGAGCTGCTAGTCTACGAGTCTTTCGTGATGTTGCTGGGAACTCTTTCTTTATTGAAGTTACCTTTGTGGTTGCTGGATAATCAGCTTCTTTAATTTTAAATTCAAATCTTGAATTGTAAGTAAAATTAAACTTTGGTATCTGTCCAGCATGTAAGAAGACGAAGTTGCTATTTAATTGTTTTAATTTCTAAAACATCCAGATATCTTGAAAATAAATATTTTATTCGTTTTATATGAGTTCAGTTACTCAGTGCTGTGGGACTGAAAGGTTAAAGCAAGACACTTCTTATCCGGCTGTCTAAGGAGGTTAGATCAGGCTTTACATTAAATTAAAACTGAATTTAATCTTAAAGTTTCACTTGATTTTTGATACTTGGCTAATTTTGGTGTATGGTAAATCATGCTCAGATATTTTAGGCATACATAAGAACACAAGTAAAGTGCCACCAAATAAGATATGATGTTTTATAAGGTTTGTACACGACTGATTTGTTTTTCTATTATCTACCGGCATGGCTGAGATTTTCTGTTGTTCCTAATCTTCGGAAAAATGTTTTTTTCCTACATATATTTAGTATACCTATTCCAGAAAGTTTAAATGTTAAGAGGATGATTCTCGCTCTGAACTTCATAATTAGAAATCTTATGTTTAAGCTTTTATTTTTAATAACGGGAAACTAGTTAAATAGCTTTTATTTTTAACAACGGGAAACTAAAATTTACTAACAAAGGTAATTTAGTGGAAGACCTTAGAAAAGGAATTATACAGGATTTTAAGACTCTGTAGGATTACTAAACAACATGTATTACTCGCAGTTGTATGCAAAATTCTTAGAACTCATTCGAAAGCGAACGTCAGGCAAGCTTCTCGCTTCTTGATAGATAATAAGATTCTTTAAAAATAAACCGCAGAACCGCAGGTGGAAAAGCGGAGGGAATAGCGGTGATGGTGCATTTTGAAAATCGCGGACTTATAATTACAGTGGGTGGGAAAATTTCTCCAACAAAACTTAAAGACGACAGGTTACCTGTCAACACGAGGTACTCATTAATTTAAGGCTAGGTGCGGTTGTCCCAAAAAGTAAAACCAAGGCGCAGGTTTCCGAAAATGTAATTAATTTCCAACAGACTCTTAAAAGATGACTGAACGTGTCAAATTAGAAGTCTGATGTTTCGAGTTTGGCACGAAAGTGTTCTCGTAAAAAGAAATGCAGAGTGCTGAGTGGAATATTAAATTGATCTCAAATGTTCGAAAAGGTGTTGCGTTGCAGATTAAAAATTTCTACTATGATGAATTTATGCTATATCTGTTAATATTCGATCATGAGAATATTATTGATACTTAATAAGCAAATGACACGCGAACTCCACTCTATTCAGTAGCGCAGTGTTCGCGAATGTAGCATATTCATCCCTTCATTCACTAAAAGGTAAGTTTAATTCACGTACTCCGCAATGAATACTGTGAGGCTCTCATATCCATATAAATCTCAATCATAATAATATAGGTATGAACTATACACAGGAATTATAAGCATAACAATTTTAAATTTAAAATTTAAAATGCGAATTTGGACACAAAAGGAAACATTTGAGTGCTACAATTAATTACTACAAACTTCTAGGCCCTAAGAATGGACCAGTGGATAAGATCTCTTAACAATGGTAGTTGGAACCGTGTTCCAATCACAGAGAATGAGGTAGCTGCTTCTACATCTTCGAGATTTTGTACATAATGTAAATTCGATCCACCATCCCTTTGGAATTTCTTTATGAAAGCATATCGTCCTTTGGACAGATAGCTCTAGAGTGGTTTACCATAATCCAATTAACCAAGTCTAATCCAAATTTCCAGAGAAGAAACAATGTATTTCTATTAAGCACAAATAGAAATACGAGGACGTAAATGGCCCTGCTGTACACAATATATAACAGTAGTAATAATATCAAATACTTGTAATTTAAACATATAAAAATAATTTCAAGTATCATCAATGAATTTAAAAATATGAATAGAAATCGTAAATCATCCGAAGATAAACACATAATATTCAAATGCTATTAGCTAGTTTCCAGAAAAGAGAGAGCACATCTGTATAGATTCAAGCAGCGTGTATCTACCTGTTTGCATTAAGAGAGACACTTTAAATTTTAAATTTAGCAAAAGAAAGTAGGGCAGAGTGGCAAGACGAAATGAAGATGACGAAACTAGATTCATACAAATAACCAATTTTTATTTTCACACATATCCAATTAGTTTGGCAGACACTTATACATTCATAATTAAATATGATAAATTTCTATGTGCATTAGCTTTTTTTTTTTTTTTTTTTTTTTTTTTGAGAAAACGACGTAGGCATTTAAGAAGCGAGAAGCAGCGCAAAGATGTTAGCAAGGTAGAAGCTAGCAAAAGAATGACGTAATTAATTCACCAGCGGTATTTATACTAAGTCTTATGTATATGCACAGGTAATCTGTGACTGGTTAATTTTAGTTTCAGTTGCCCTTTTTAAGTAACGTTATATAACATGGAAGGATCTCGAATTTGGGAGAACAGATGAATTTAAGTCTACAGTATCAAAACTAGAAAGTTAATTCTGAGGTCGCCAATTATTCTTAAAGCAGCTATCGTATGTTCTTATATTACACACATACCACACAGATATATATATTATATATATAATATATAATTAAGTAAGATGGTCTGTGCTCACTATCGTTCGGCTCTCGTCTGACCGCGAGCTCAT